ATATTGATTACTAAATATTATATAAAATATAAAATACAAATAAATAATTAACACAAGATTCCTAAATTAGAAGATTTAACATTGCATAATTTTCAGTTTTATGTCACTTGAGTATAAGCTACATTATTTGGCACAAAAATGTTTATGAACATACCTTGAGGACGACATGATGCACCGTCATTTATGGCTTTCATATTAACATCTGATATTAATGCATCCTCCAAAGCTTCATCAACATCCTTATCGCTTGATACAAAAATAATAATTAACACACACACACACACACACACACACACACACACACACACACACACACACACACACACACACACACACACACACACACACACACACACACACACACACACACACACACACACATATATATATATATATATATATATATATATATATATATGTTGAAATTACTGCTCGCATACATAGAACAATATTCTGTATACCTGTAGCAGATTGACTATTGTTGATACGTTGGTTAGATGATGTGCAATTACGACATGCGAGTTTAAATACATAAAATAAGAGATGACAAATAAACAATATTATACAATGTACGATTATAATGTCTATATTGATCATCACCAACCAAGTGCAACATCATTAACATGTGTAATTCTACTTAGGTCAGCTTCATTGTCATGAGTTCCTTGAAAGTGTGATATTGGAGATCTCATATTTGTAAAATTTTGAAATAGAACTCTCCTTCGACTGTTCATAGTGCGAGATATTTGAGCTTGTTTATCTTGCTCTTTCTGCTGCCTATAAATGTCACGTCGTATCGATAAATAATTTTCTCTTTGCTCGATGTTCATATTTTGTCTCCTCTTCCTTTCATTTTCGGTCCTTCTTGCCCTTTGTTGTTGACTTGATATCTGACGGGTATTATTTTCCATTTTGTTAATGTAACTACCAAACACATATGCAATTTATAAGCAACATAATTTCACTAATTATGTTGAAAAATATTGGTAAATATAGATGTGATTTAAAATATAATATTTTTTTTTTTTGGAAAAAAGAAGTTTACACCAAAAAGTATTATCGGTAAAACATATGTTAAAAATATAAATTAAAACTAAAATATAAAAAAGACGAAGAAGTAATGGGCAACCAATATAAAAGAAACATAAATTATGTTGGACAAATTGATGAAAAGATTGCATATTAACTAAACATTAAAATATAAAATGGGGTAAGAAATGAAATTAGTGTAATTTATGTTATAGATAAAAGATATATTAAAATAAAATGAGAAAGGATAGTGTTATATTCCTTGTAGGTTCATAATAATATTTTTATATTACTCCAAATTATTTTATATTTTAGTTAACTCATAATATTATCATTGAAGCTTTTTTCATTGATCAAAAGTACATTTTCATCTTTTTATTAATTAGTACAATAATTATGTTTTAGCAATAGGTTATTTGAATGTATTAGTATTAAAGATAAAAATTGAAGGAACCATTTTAAAAAATTGCCAAATTTATTATAATCTTAATAATTGTGTTGTCTAATACTACAGTTGTAGAAATAATAATCTCTATCCTATTTGGTTAACCTCTAAATATACTTAACCTCCACCCTATTTGGTTAATCTCTAAACATACTTAAACTCTACCCTATTTGAGTTACCTCTAAATATATTTGACATAGAAGCCTTAATTGTATGGTGTGTGTGTGTGTGTCTATATATATATATATATATATATATATATATATATATATATATATATATATATATATATATATATATATATATATATATATATATATATATATATATATATATATATATATATATATATATATATATATATATATATATATATATATATATATATATATATATATATATATATATATATATATATATATATATATATATATATATATATATATATATATATATATATATATATATATATATATATATATATATATATATATATATATATATATATATATATATATATATATATATATATATATATATATAACATAGATGATACATGAAAATTTTCATAGAATTGAATCATGCATGTATTTATTATCACTAAATACAACCTATTACAACCATATAATATTCTAATTCTCAACAATTCAAATTAAAGATAATAAACAATATTTATAATGGCTTGATCGATAGAATAAAGTTTTACTTATTAAAATAAGACTATCTTAATAAATAATTTTTTAAAGTTTAGTCGATAGAAAATAATAGTATGTTGGATGGCGATAAATATAATTTGCAACATATACGTAATAATTATAGATTGCATATTAGTCGCACTTATATTGTATAACATGCAACATATACGTATAAATAATTATATATTGCATATAATATATGGGGACTCTCACATAATTCATCAACAATTTTCTAAACAAGCTATTTCTATTCTAGGATGGAAAAAAGCTATGGAAAGTGAATATGATGCTTTGATTGCCAATGACATATGAAACCTTACTACTTTACCTTCTACCTCCTAACTCCCTCCATCCACCATAGTAACAATGAGAGCATTGCCACTCATACTCCCTTCATCCACTATGACGAATGCACTCCCTAGATTATGATTGACACAAAATTCTTTTTACTCTAAAATTTTCTAGACGATTTCTATTTGCACCATATTTTACCTCCTTTCGATCTTCTGTTAAAGCATATTGCTTCCATTATTGGTCTGCCTGGTATAATATTTAACTTAATCTCTCTTTAATTACATTTTGTCATAGTTCCATAACTATGAATTTCAAACTTAATCCATCTATAGTCAGCATAATCGATAATATAATATCTCCCTTGTTCTTACAATCGACTGAAGTGTTTTCATCTTGAATTTACTTCAAGCTGAGTTTCTCATTATGCAATTTTGTATATCCAAGTTCATAAGCTATACCTTTCTACCCTTAGGACATTGTTAAATATCAAAAGAAAGAAAAAAACTGTAGGCTCGGAAGAAAAAACCAATGGCTAGCAGTTACAAAAGCAATGACTAGCAGTTACAAAAGCATCATAACCGGAAAATACATCAAACATTCTAAAAAAATTAACTGCAATAGAAAATGAAAAAATTTTGATAACCGAAGCCAATTAAATTATAACTCCTGCATCTCATTGATATAAATATAAATGAACTTTTCTCAGGCAATTTAATGTTTACCTATAAATTATAAGAGGTTGATGTATAAATAACTTATAAGAGGTTATATAGTGTATTTGGGTTTACATAACTTAAGGCGTGATAACCAAACTAATTATAAAACAAAAGAAAAACTTCTATTTCTCTTAATCCATAAACACACTTTGTTAATTTTCATATTAACTTTTCTTCATCATTTCTATTGGATTTCCTTCTTTTTTTTTAATGTTTATGTTGGAATATTCACCCTTCCAATTCACAATACTCTAACAAAATAAATAAATAAAGATCAACCTAAACATGTTTAAAAAATTCATTCAAGTATATTTAAAAAAATACCTGACAAAAAATGAATTCTTTTGATAATTAAGTAATGTACCACTCCTTTCACTGCAATAATGGAGTTACTTAAGTCTTCGCAAAGTAAGAGAGAAAGAAAAATAATTAATTTGAAAGTAACTTGGCAAAGTGAATGTGAAATATTTGTGAGGGGCTCAGAGAGATTGATTTTGCAAGCGAGAGTAGGTAGTATGAACGTAAATAAGATATGCAGTGATAAAATTATTAATTAATATTGAAGTGAAATGAAAAAATAACTAATTTTCAATTTTCAGAACTAAAAACTCTAATATTTTGAATCTGTATTTTGTAAGATGAAAATATAAATCAATTGTGATTTAAAAGCATATTGAAAAGGATGAAGAGTGATTGAAAAAACTTTCGAAAAGATGCATATTGATTGAAAAATTGAGAGTATAAAAGTAGTTTTTTAACTGTTAATTTAATATTTGTAATTTATACTATGAGAGAAAAATGAGTTTTTTTGTTTAAATTAAATATCTAATGTGAGAGAGGAGTTATGCTATGAAATGGTTTGTAATTTTTTGGATGGTTACATATAGATAATTTAGGAATAAAGTGTGTTTTATAAGGATAAGTTTGGAAAAGAAATAAGTCATACCAAAATCACCTATCCTTTTTATATATACTAGTGTCCGCTTTTTTAATGCGTATAAAAATATAAACGATATTTTTTGTTAAAATAAATTTTTAACAAAATACAATATGTGGAATTTAATAATAAGTTATGTGAAAGTTAAAAATAATAAGTTATTTGAAAGTTAATAATAGAAAGTTATTAAATAAATTACACAATATAATAAAGGTAAAAATGGTAGAAAAATATGTCATATCAAAACAAAATATTATCTTTATATTATATATATATATATATATATATATATATATATATATATATATATATATATATATATATATATATATATATATATATAAAGTTTATAAAGTTATTTTTACAAAAATTTTAAAGAAAATTGTAAAAAAAATGCTTATTTTTAATTTAATGTTGTTTTTGATAATTTGGGATGTCATGGTTCATGCGTGACAGTCGGTGCGATGGGAACATTTTCCTGTGTAAGTGTAACGGTCTAGTTGCCCCTAAGGCAGTGGGCGCTGAAATGCAAAAATTCGAAATAAACAAATCAGAGAAGAAGGAACTCGCTGCAAACACGTCCACCTAAAACGCCACCGAATAAAATATCTAACGGACTCAAATTAAACTAAAAAAAGACTCAAATCCTTCATCACCTAACTAAAGGGTCCGCTCCAAAACAAAATTAAACATAAGCCGTTCATCACATCAAGATCCACGCGTCAAAATCGAGAAGAATAGCACCACTCCGCTATTAAAACCCGAGTACAAAAATGAAAAGAACCAAAGAGAAAAATATCTCTCGGACTCTCCCATTTGAATTCCAAAACAACTTATTCTCAATTCCGATAACAGATTGGAAAAATTTGAGAGCGTTTTCAAAGATGAAAACGGAAAATCGTTCGAAAGAAGAAACTGCGACTTATCAAGAATGGTTCCATTTGGCAGATTCAGGTAACTATGGTTCACTCTTTCGTTTCACTCATGCATACAATTTCTAAATCGTTTCGTTCCATTCGATTCGTTATATGTTAGATGGAGATGGACGCATCAGTGGAAACGAAGCTACGAAGTTCTTCGCACTCTCCAACTTATCTCGCTCTCAACTCAAGCAGCTTTGGGCTCTTTCTGATACCAAACGTCAAGGATTTTTAGGTTTCACAGAGTTCGTTACTGCGATGCAGGTTTCTACATTTTTAACCTATGTTCATCAATTGATCGATTATGATTCTGTTTCGGTAATGAAGATTTTGATTAGATTTAATTTTATCACGAACAGTTGGTTTCGCTTGCACAAGCCGGATATGAACTTAATTCCGATTTACTAAAGATTCAATGTAAGTGCGCTTTCATCGTGAAGATTGAATCTCTAATTTCAGTTTCTAATTGAGCATGGAGTTTAGAATATTGATGCTGTATGAATGTGTTACCATTTCTGTGTTTTTATTTATTTATTGATTATTTTGTTTCAATGAAACTTATCTGTTCGTTTTTATTGATTGTAGTGGATAAGGAAAATGTTAAACCACCTGTGATTGAAGGATTAGATACTTTAGTGGCAGTAAGTAGTGGTTTTCTATCACTTTTGTGCTTAATTACTAAGATTTAGATCATATTATTTCTGATGACTTTCTTCCTTATTGTATTTTTCTAGCAAACCAAGAGTTTGTTGACAATAACTGCCCAGCCTGAAGTGAATGGTTAGATATGTGACTTATTCTTTTCATAATTTTCATGATGAAATGATACTTTTGTTAAAATTTGAGATTTTATTTGATTATTTTTTTTTATTGATATTGATAATATGTAGTGAGTGCCCTGCCTCAACCATTTTTAGCTAACTCATGGTTCACTTCAAAATCAAGATCTTCAAAGAAAGTGAGTCTAGTTATACGTTATCAGATTTAGAAAACTTAGTTGATTTTGATGAAATTCATAATTCTGTGTAGTCCATACTTTGCATTGTCATATGGTGGTTTGATTTCCATCTTGTTCAATTAGTTGTTGGAGCTTACTACATTATTTTAATAGGAGATGAATTCTCTATTTATTTTTAATTTTTATTTAGAGATCTTTATGTAATTGATAGATCCTTGAAGCATGTCAACAAGTTATGTTCGCTTTCATAATTACCTGAAGGAGTTGAAGTAAAATATATAGTTCACCCTCAATGATTACATAAATTCAGTTTCCTCTTTGTTGTTTTTCGGGGTGACTAGGATATGGCGGTTAAACTAGAAATAAGGGAAAGTAGACCACATCCACCTTACTTTTTCCTCGGTAAATATTGTTATTATTGATATATTTTTTTGTTTGTTTCAAATACGGTTGGTAAGTGTTGTCAATTCGGTACACACTTCTATTAGGAATGTATATTTGCTCTCATGTAGCTCCGTTCCTCATCCATGTCCATTCATTACTTTGATGAGATGAATCATGTGTACGAACCAACATTAAAACCGTTCAGAATGTGCTTTCGTGATTGATTATATCAAATACTAAGATCTACTTCATATATTCTTAATATTAATTTGTTGTATAAATTCTAAACACAATAGTTTGCTTTTTCTTAGTTACCTCCCAATGCAGTTACATCAATAGTTGATGGCTTGAAGAAATTGTATATTGAAAGACTAAAGCCCTTGGAAGCTGCTTATAGATATGATGATTTTGCATCTCCGTTGTTGGTAAGGGGCATTTGCACCCAATTTATAAGTTAAACATGTCAAATTTTGCCACTTTTATGTTTGAGCACGTTGCATGTTTTACTTAACACTTCTTATCCATGTAAATATGATGATGTTAACTGTAAGAATGTATTGATTTCTTTCTTTCAGACTAACAGTGATTTTGATGCTAAACCCATGGTCATGCTTCTTGGTCAATACTCTACGGGGAAAACAACATTTATAAAACATTTGTTAAAATGTGATTATCCAGGTTGGTTGAATTGTGGTTGATCCAGCAGCTACTTCATTGTATTTAATTCATTGAAAAAAATTGATGACTGAGGGATATAACTAGTTAACTAATATACTGATCCTATATGTTCTCTTTTAAAATGCTCTTTGGACAGGAGCACACATTGGACCAGAGCCTACAACAGATAGATTTGTTGTTGTCATGGTATGGAAAGTTTTTGTTCTTGTATTGCCTGTGGAAATCAATTGTTTTTTGTTCTTGTATTGCCTGTGGAAATCAATTGTTTTTTGTTCTTGTATTGCCTGTGGAAATCAATTGTTTTTTGTTCTTGTTATTGTTAGAATACTTATCTTCTATAGTTTGTGTTGTTTTGCTTGTGCTATTAGAGCTTGCTTCAAAACTAACAATCTTTTGTTATTTATAGTCCGGCCCTGATGAGAGGAGTATTCCTGGAAACACTATAGCTGTTGATGCTGACATGCCTTTTGGTGGCCTGACAACTTTTGGAGGTTCATTTTTATCGAAGTTCCAATGTTCTCAAATGCCACATTCTGTGAGTTTTATTTATGTGTTCCAAGTCAAATGACTTTGTCGATATTTATACTTGAAATTGAATTAATTTTTTTCTTTTAGCTGCTGGATGAAATAACAATTGTGGACACTCCTGGTGTCCTATCTGGAGAGAAACAAAGGACACAAAGAAGCTATGATTTCACTGGTGTTGTATCTTGGTTTGCTGCCAAATGCGATGTCATTCTTCTTCTATTTGACCCGCATAAACTTGACATCAGTGATGAGTTCAAACGTGTAATTTCTTCATTACATGGCAATGAGGACAAGATTCGCGTGGTTTTGAACAAGTCAGACCAAGTTGATACTCAACAAGTAAGACACCAAACGAGATTGAACCAATTTATTTTATTTACACATCATTGTGTTCAATGACGTGCTATTTTTTATTTAACTCATGTGTAACTGTAACATTTTAGCTTATGAGAGTTTATGGAGCGTTGATGTGGTCACTAGGGAAGGTTCTGACTACTCCTGAAGTTCCACGTGTATACATTGGGTATGTTTGCTATCTTTCAAATATGTCTAATGAACCACTTCACTAACAAATTAGAAATTAACCATTATTTTACCATCTTGTGATTTGAAAATTCAAATAATGATGGCAGGTAGTTGGGTTTTGTTTATTTGGAGTTTTAGTTTTTAATCTAATTGTTTATTTTAAAAATTTATTCCTGAAATTTTTACTTTTGATGAGATTCACTTTACATTATTACGTTATTTCTCCAATTAATGTGATATTCTTTGGCTCTTAGTATATTCTATTATTGATTTGATTTTTGCAGGTCGTTTAATGATAAGCCTACAGCTGAAGGATTTGATGGTTCACTGGGAAAAAATCTCTTTGAGAAGGAACAGAACGATTTGTTGGCAGATTTGCTCGATATCCCAAAGAAGACATGCGATCGTAGGGTAGGTTGCTAATGTCATATTATTTAGGTGACTTGGTGCAAATTGAATTGTATTTAGATAACAAAGCAAATTGAATTGTATTTAAGTTATAACAAAAACATGAATTGTTTATATTTTGTTATTGAACTTGTGCAGATCAATGAATTTGTGAAACGAGCTAGATCGGCCAAAATTCATGCATACATAATCAGCCATCTTAAAAAAGAGATGCCAGCAATAATGGGCAAAGCCAAGGCTCAACAAAAACTTATTGATAATCTGGATAATGAATTCGCAAAGGTTTCTCCTCAACCTTCACTTTTTATCTACTTTTTTTGTTGCTTAAGATCTAAGTACTTTTCATTTATGTTTTACTAAACAGGTTCAAAGGGAGTACCATCTACCAGCTGGTGACTTTCCCAATGTTGAACACTTCAAAGAAGTTTTGAGTAGTTATAGCATCGACAAATTTGAGAAACTAAAGCCAAAAATGATCCAGGGCATAGATGACATGCTTGGATATGAAATACCAGAGCTTTTAAAGAAATTCAGAAATCCTTACAATTAAAATGAAAAATGTTTTTATCTATCATCATATATGTTTGATAAATGTAAGACTTTGATATTTGAATTAATCATTAAATAATTGTAGATGGTTTCATTTTCATTGATTAATATTCAAATCATTTTAAGTTGTTATATCCTTTGGAGAAAGGGAAAGTTACTATGCTCTGTGGGACAACCATGTGGGGACTTGGTGAATGTGGAGTTGATACAAATATATGAACTTTAAAGAAAGTGAGAAATGACATGCTTTTTAAAGATTTATTTTACTTCAATAATAGTAAAAGAAATCAAAGTAATAAATTATTTTATAATTTAAAATGTAATTCTAGTTTCTGTCTAACAAGTAAAGTAAAAGAGGTATAGAAGAAACTGTAAAATAAACTTCTCTTTTGAATCATGAAAGCAGTAAACTATATTCTTTAGAGTATCACCAATTATTATTATTTTTAAAATATATTTTTAAATTTTATTGAACATACATGAATATAAATATATAAATAAAGTAGGCAAAATGTCCTTTCTGATTTTTTAAATTTTAAATTTATTTTGTTCTCTTAACTTTTAAAAGTTCCGATTGTGTGTATATATATATATAATTTTTTTCTCTAAATTCTTGTCTTTACTCTAGAATCAAACTCTGATTAAGTTGTGGGCAAGACATTCTATCACACTAGGTCACCTCATAGTTTTTAATTTTATTTACAAATTAAATATAGGAATGATCAATTTAATTTACAAATTTAGTTGAGTGAGTTGAACACGGTAGAAAGAGCACATGTGCTTTTTCTTGTTACTCTTCTGCCTTATGCATATAAGTTGGTTTTAAGAATACCATCACTTTGGATTTTAGTTAAACCATTCGTAATCTATTATTCATTTTCCTGTTATAATTTTGTTCATTCTCTTATCATGTGCAGTGAATTGGATACTAAGTTTCAAAAAGCATTTAAGGTAATACCCGATAACCGAGGGCATGGGAAGAAGCTTAACTGATGCAAATCTCAGAAATAGAATATTCAAAAATAAGATCAGGAAGCGTAAAATAGATAAAAAATGATGTAATATTGAAATAAGAAAACAGAATGTAGATGGAATACAAATCCTATCTACCCACAAAGCTACGCTCCTCAGAGCATCTCCAATGGTGCAACTCATTTTTAGGTTCTTTGTGGGACCCACTCTTTTAAAGCAACTCATTCAATTTTCACTCCAATGGTGAACTCTAAAGAATCCATATTGGGTCTCACCACTTTACTTAAAAAATATTATTTATATTAAATTTATTTTATTTAAAATTATAATTTAAATATTTAAATTTTAATTAAAATGATAATTAAAATAATAAATAAAATTTTATATCAAATTATAGTTTTTATATTATAAAATTAATATTTTAATATAAGAACCATTGAAGAACCGTTGCATATTTAAGAACTTTTCCATCTTAAAAACAACAAATATGAGTGCCATGTTGGCAAACCCATTCTAAGAACTCCCATTGGAGTTGGTCTTAGAGAATTCACACTCTCTGCCCTAACAAAAAAATATAACAAATTTCTGCATACTCTCTCTCTTCCCTTCCCTTAATTATTTATAACAAAAATTATGACTAAAAACAAATCTCTCACAAAGACCCCACTGCCACAGCAGACTTATTTTATATTCTTCCTAACATAAACTTTCCACTCCCTCGACCCATTTGATTGACCCAATAACATCCCATCGTTATCAATACTTGAGAAGTAAACTTGTCCTCAAGTCTGAAAGATGGAATCGGTAATGGTTGTAACAATCCTCCTGGAGTCACAGCCACATATTTCTGACGTTAACATACATCACACTCTTGCACAAATTGTTAGACCTGTTTCTTCATCCCAAACCAAAACAAATTTGCTGTAATTCGACGATAAGTACGATAGAATCCAAAGTGTCCACCTTGAGGAGAGGAATGAAACTCCAATAGCAACTTAGGAATCCACACAGAGTTAGAAGAGAGCACCAATCTATTCTCATAAAACAAAATTCCTCTTCGATACGCAAAACCCTGTTTTGTTGGTTTGCCTTTTTCCAAGGCTGCAATGATCTCTTTTAACACAACATCATCACGCACTTCTTTCACCACTTCCTCGGTACCCAACCATGTAGGATAATGCACTTATGATTTCAATTACACACTATCGTGCATTCGAGACAATGCATCAGCACCTTTGTTTTCCAAACCCGGTTTGTAGACTATGTCGAAATGGTAGCCCAAGTTTTGCTGGTCCATTATGGTAACTCTTTGTTGAAGTAATTGTCACAAGCTCTTTTGATCAGTACACACAGTAAATTTTTGCCCCATCAAATACGGACACCAATGCTGAATAGATAATGCCACTGCCATTAATTCCTTTTCATAAGCTGACTTAGTTAAATTTATGTCACCTAATTCCTTGCTGTAATACACAATATGACGTCCCTGTTGCAACAAGATAGCACCCAAATTGTTTCCAAACGCATCGCTTTCAATAAAGAACTCTTTGGAAAAATCTGGCAATGTTAAAACAGGTGTCGTGGTTACGGTTGTTTGAGCACCTCGAAAGTAGCCTGTTCACTAACTCCCCATATAAAACCGTCCTTCTTTGTAAGATCTGTCAGTGGCTTGGCTAATTTTCCATAGTCTCTAATGAATTTTCAGTAATAACCGGTGAGACCCAAAAAACCTCTGACTCCTTTAACATTTTTTGGTACTGGCCATTGTAATACACATTGAACTTTAGCGGGATCCATGGCTACTCCTTCTTGGGAAATTATATGTCCCAAGTACTCTATAGAGCACTATGCAAGATAAAATTTCTTCCTGTTAACAACCAACTTATTATCGGACAGGACTTGCAAAACATGACTCAAATGTTGCATATGTTGTTGCCAAGTTTTGTTATACACCAATATCTCATCAAAGAAAACAAGTAAAAACTTGCGTAAGAACAGCTTCAAAACACCATTCATCAATGATTAAAAGGTTGATGAAGCATTCATCATTCCGAAAGGCATTACTAGGAACTCGTAATGCCCTTCGCAAGTCCGAAAAGTTGTTTTATGCACATCCTCCCTGCGCATCCTCACTTGATGATATCCTGACTTGAGATCAATTTTTGAGAAAAAAAACATGCTTTGTGCAATTCATCCAATAAATATTTAATGATTGGAATAAGGAACTTATCTGAAATGATGGCCTTGTTCAAAACCGGGTAGTCAACACACATCCACCACGAGTTGTCCTTCTTTTCGACTAAGATAATAGGATTTGGAAAAGCACTTTGACTTGCACATACTGAAGCTAGTGGGATTATACCTGAGCGCATTGCATGCTCGATGGTACAACAGAGTCGCCACCAAACTTTATTTATTCCAAAAGGAAAGGGGAAATATCGATAAAACCCATGGGAAGAGAAACAGGTAACAGAGTCGGTTATGCGAGAGGAAGGTATTAGTACCCCATGCATCCTTCGTACTCGACGGGAACCATTCTGAATGCTTCTAGGCTCAGATGGCTAATCTATCTAAAGGTTACTCACGAAAGAGGGAAGGGAAAGAGATAAAGAAAGTGCTCGCAGAAGATTAGGGCCCTTGTGACTACATATCCTCATAGTGCAATGAGGAATTCAGAGGTTTGTAGTTCATGGAATCAGGGAAGAAAAGGAGAAGGTGGTTTGCCAAGATTTCGCAATCTTTTGTCTACGTATTCTCATAGTGAAATAAGAAATTAAGAGTCTATGTAGTTCGGAGAACTAAGACAAGAAAGGACAGGGAATGGTGTCAAAATCAAGAGCAAAAAGCAAAGAAATGGTGTCGAAACCAAGAGAGAGGAATAAGAGGTAGGAGTAAAAGAGGGGCAAGGAGTAGTGGCGAGAGTGTTTAACCAAGACTCGGTGGTTAACCCAAGGAAAAGGACAAATGTCTTTACAGGGGGACAAAGGAATTGACGCTTGCTGGGGAAAAGAAAAGGAATTGGTCTTTTAACTGAAAAGCAGTGGTTAACCAAGAAAAAAGTTTGACTCCACTAAGGAGAGAGAGTAAGAAATTGGTTTTCTAACCGACGAACGATGATTAACCAAAGAGTTGGGTGCTTGAACCAAAAGGAGGTATTTAACTCAAAAGAGACTCAGTATGTTGACAGACGGACTATGATTAACTGAAGAAAAGAGAGAAGTTGATCTTTTAACCGACAGACGATGGTTAACCAACGAAAAGGGTGTTGAACCAAGGAAAAATGTTAACTTAAAAGAGACCCGGTATATTAACAGACGGACTGTGATTAATCGAATAAAAAGAAAGTGATTGATCTTTTAACTGAAGGGTAGTGATTAACCAGCGAAAAGGGGAATTGAGTGTTTTAACCAAAAGGTGATTAACCCAACAGAGGTTCGGTATTTTAACAAATGGAATGTGGTTAACTGGAAAAAAAAGGGCAGTTGGTCTTTTAACTGACAGACAGTGGTTAACCAACGAAAGGGAGGTTAGAACCAAGAGAAGGTTGCTTACTCCGCTAGAGATTCCGTATCTTAACAGACGAACTGTGGTTAATCGAAAGAAAACAAAGGTTGTGACTTCTCTAGGGGGAAGAAGAAGATTGGTGTTTTAACCGACAGATGGTGATTAACCAAAGGAATGAGTATTTAACCAAAAGGAAGTTGCTAACCCAAAAAGAAAGATAGAGGTTCGGGGGCAGGAGTGAGTGACCAAGGATCGACTCAAAAGACACTACAGTTCGGGGATAGAGATGACTATTTCAAGCACAGGGTCATTTGTCCACTACCGAAAATAGTTAAAATGGGGATAGGAATTCTCCATTCTCATTCCTTCTCTAGCACTAGAAGCGTGGTGCGAAAATTGAGATTGACAGAGTAATAACGTAATTTGTACAATGCTCTGATTGGTTGTGCAGATGTCTAACTCGAAGAAGGATAAAAAAGAAAGGCTCTAAAGAGATCCTAAATAAGAGAGTGGGGCAATTAATCA